GTTCATCCACCCCTTTTTTAGATATTTTTTTCAGATCTTATCTTAAAAGAAAATTGAATCTAATAGAGATGCATGTCATTTGCTTCCAGTGATTTCAGCTATTTTGATTAAAAATGCTCTCATTTTACACTTTAGGCAAGGTACATTTTGGAGTAGATGTAGTTGCCTTTATACTGAAATTCCCAAACAGAGTTGAAGGACACTGTCTCATTTCACCTAGTGAAAGGAGATGCAAGAGAAAAAGTTTTGAGAAATATTTGTACTTATGTATCAAAGTATGATGTTTGCTTTGCTTACAACAGCAGCATATTATTGATTCGTACGACCTTGATCAGCCTCTCTGTATCTGCAAAATACCTTTTAGAGAGATTGCTGCCTACCAGTTGTTTCTGCTCTTGGTTTTGTGCAATGGCTGTGCCTGCTCTTGCTCTTTGTGCTTGTGCTTATGGACTCACAGCTCATTTACTTCTGCATTTTTTCATATTATCAAGATAATTTTGTATCCTAATACTGTCCTCCAAAGAGCTTGTGGCACCTCATAGTTTTCTAACATTTTACATTTAATAAGCATACTCTGTCTCTCTCTATTGTAGGCCTATCTCCAATTTCAGCTCGAGAGCTGTACCTCGCGTCTGAAGAGCGGACAAGCAACTGGAGCGCATGGGCATTTGCCTGGGCTGCGCTGGCGCAGAGGCTGCAGCTGCAGTGAGCATCCCCTGCAGATCTTCTTTGAGAGGAGCTGGCTCAGGCTGAAATGGATTAACTCAGAAGCGAAAATAAGTTGAAGTGGGATTCAGTTTTCCTGGCATAGGTGGAAAGCAAATACTGCTGAAGGGCAGGGAATAGACAAAAAAGCATGTGGAAAAGCTAAGAAACCTTATTTTCATTTTAGTTTCTAGAGTCCTGATTCTTATGTAGATAAATGATCTTTGAGAGGAGCTGGCTCAGGCTGAAATGGATTAACTCAGAAGCGAAAATAAGTTGAAGTGGGATTCAGTTTTCCTGGCATAGGTGGAAAGCAAATACTGCTGAAGGGCAGGGAATAGACAAAAAAGCATGTGGAAAAGCTAAGAAACCTTATTTTCATTTTAGTTTCTAGAGTCCTGATTCTTATGTAGATAAATGAGGGCAACCACTAATACTGTATGCTGATTGAGCTGCTATATGACAAGGACTGCCTTTACACATAAGCTTAAGTGTATTTTCAAAATATCTCTCATTATTCAAATTTGTTCTTTTGGTGGCATTCATTACCAAGGAAGGGAGTAGCATCATCTTTCAGATTATAATATGAGGTTCAAAAGTTCCTGATTTTTTTTCTTAAGAAAATATTTTTCTTCCTGGGACACTTTGCATCCAAAAAGTCCTGGTTTTCAAAGGAACAAGAAGTATTAAAAGAGAACTGGCCTTTTGAATGTCTTCTGCTTTTGAGCTTAGGAAATAGTAAGTGGACTAGCCTGAAGTCTGGCCTGGCATTTTGGTTTTTTAATGTACTTTTTTGCCAGACAGTATGGCATATAAAATAATCTCCTATATTCTGAAATCCCTGCTGACCCTCCCTGACCAGATAAGGGAAGTGGGATAACCCCAATGGCTCAAGCTGGCCCCTGAGCTCCCCACTTTTCCAAGCTTCATTCATGCTCTTCCATGAGAAGCTGCTGTAAGCTTTATTTTTTAAATTATTATTATTTAGTTATTATTTATTTTTAATTATTCTTTTTTTTTTAAAAAAAAAAACAGTTCAATATCACAGATTTTCAAGACTTTTGCTTAGAAAATAGCAGGTCTTCCTGCAACCCCTTTCCAGGCAGCCGTAGTGCTCTCAATAAGCAGGATGGACTTGTGAAGGTGCATGGAGGAGGGATGAAGCTGGGGGATGTTTCCAGCTCTGCTGACAGCTCCTGCTGCTTTCTCAAAGTGATGATAACAGTGAAGGGTTGTCCTCTCACCTAGTCGGCTTGTGCTCTGCACAGCCCTGCACATCAAACTCAGGTGCTGAATCCAGGTACTTGGTGCCACTAAGCCTCTCTTTAGCTTTAAATCCTCTGTCCTTGGCAAACTCTAAATGTGAATTTTGAATTGCATTTGTAATTTGCTCCTGTTCCCACTGGTGGGATGTCTGTGCATTTCCATGGCCCTGCAAAATAGTTCCCATGGGTACATTTTCTGTGGGCATAAGAAGCAAAGAAGTTTGTGGTGGGTCACGGCCCAGGGTTGGCTTCATTTGAGGCCAGTTTTGTTCATTCAGTCTCTGGCTGTAGTAGTCTGATGACAAACTGCTTCAGGTCTCAGCATAGGAGGAGAGAGGAAAGGGGCTTGAGTAACACCTCATCTTTCCCAGAGGTTCTGTACTGTCTCAGCTCACTGGGTGACAATCTATAGCTCCGGCCTCACTTGAAATGGTAAGTTAAGGGGTTACAGTTCATTAAAGGCAGGGAGAGGAATGGCAGGTACAAGGTAATGCAACCTTGCTCCACCCTCCTGCCATCAGAGCACAGGTCTTCTGCTGGTGAGTCAACTGCACTGTTGCCTTCTTGGCACAAGGGCCACCTGCCTTGACATAAACAATGCTTTCCTCAGCATTCGCCAGTTTTACCACTGTCACTTGTGTCCTTGGTCATTGAGAAGGGCTATCTTTGCAATCTTTGCTTTATGTCATTCCTTCTGGTGCTTTCATACACAGCCATTTCCATTTGTGCTTCATGCACACCACTCCTGCTGCGGCTGTGACAGGTCTCTGCATGGCTCTGCTATGCTGACCTCCACCACACGGGGTCTGTTCAGTGTGCAAGGACAACTGTGGGTTTGCATGGGAGTATTGGCATCACTGCTGATATGTAGCTCCTCAGCTGCTGTAGCTGGAACAGTCCTAGTTTCATAACTGAGGTGAGGTGAGTTTGCAGCTGTTACCCAATGAGCTTTTACCCAGTGACCTTGAAACACAATTGAACATAACAGAGGAAATTGGCTTTTAATCAGCTTATTACTTGCTGTATCACTAGAGGCTCTGACTGAGCAACTTTGAGCCAGGTGCGTTTACTGCTTTCCTCCTGGACCAAAGCCTCATCATGAGGAGATAAATCATTGCTTTCCTTTAACTTATTCCAGGATATGGAGTGACCCAAGTTTTTCTCCTTGTGACCTATGGATGTAAATCCATTGCACAGTGGGAAACTTTTGGTATTTTTTTGTGTACTCAAAGTTGTAACTGAATTCAGGGTGAAGCTGGATGACGCAATTTTGTCCTTCATGTTACCAGTGCAGACAGGTGATTTCTCTTACCATTTCTTCTGAAATGGGATATTACGGAATCATAGCAGTTGCTTTAGGGCAAGCCAGGGGTTTTGCTCATAGGAGGAACTAATCTGTGGCTTGGGTGCCTGGTGCACCGTGAGGTATGGAGATGGAAGGCGAAGCTGGCTGATAGATGTGTCTTCTTGAGGTTGCTTGGCTAAGTGAAGACACCATGGCAGGCAGGTTTTATCGATGGTGACTGGATGTGCTGGCACAGAGGTAAGTGGAAAGGACAGAGGAGGGGTTTTGGGGGGGCTTGGTGGTAGCTGCGGATACAGCTGTGGTTAGAGGAGATACAGGTGATGTGGCAGAGGAAGTGCATGGGCAACCCTATTGGCACAATATGCTGGCCTGGTTTTCACAGCTTCTCAATTGTAGCTGTTCTGAGGACACCTTTGGTGTGATGTTTGCAGTGGGTTGGTAATATGCTCAGAGTGAAATATGGCACAAGTTATTTGTATTATCTCTATTATTTATTATGGGCACCTTTTGTGTAATTAAAATTGAAATTGGACAAAACCTTACGTTTGATATAACCTTCCACTACTGGAGCTCACCAGAGACCGAGCTCACAGTGTTGATAGTGTAACACAGTGCATCCCACAAAAAGGTCCTCCTGTTTCTCTCACTGCTTTCTATCTGCCTTATCTCTGCAGATAAGAATGTATGAAGTCAGCTGCCGCCTTACTGCACAGCGGCCTGCTCACAATGCTGGAACTACAGTCGACATCACCGCGACACTAACTGCAACAGCAGCATTTGGGATTTCCCAATTTGACACTTTCTACCCCAATAAGGTAGAGGACAGGTTGCTAATATCCTCTAGTATACCTTAAGCATACAACTCTCATAACTTTACCAGCTCAGGAAAATTAAAAAAAAAAAAAAGGAAAAAATGCTTTCTAGCTATTAGAACTCCTCCCTTGCAGCTTTAAATGAAGATTGCATGTTGGACCCCTGTTAAGGGGTTGTCCATGGAAGGAGATGCTGTATTGGCAGGGGCCCAGCCAGATGACCCTAGTGTTGTCTTGTGCTGCTTATGGGTTTCCTCTCCATGTCCCATTGCTAAAGGGGTTTTACACCATATTTGTGATGAAGCAGGCAAGCATCAGCAATAAAAACGATGCAGCTGCTGTTACAGGAATAATTATTGGTTTATTAACACAAAAATTACAGACTGTTTTGCAGTTTAGGCAGAATTTCAGAGCCCAAACTGGAATCAGTGCTTTCAACAAAACAGAGACACATTGAGTGTGAGACAAGAGACAGAGGTCTGCCATGGGCTGTCCCTGCTGCAGGAGGGGAGGGCTGACCTCTAGGCACTGAGGAAGGCGTGAAGGATTGTGCAGGGCTGGGAATGGTCATGAATTGGGCCAGGACATGACTGCGAAGGCAGGATTTGCTAAGGAGGAAGCTGGTGGGACCTGCAGATGTTCCTAGGCCAGGCCAGCACTTGGCAGGGCAAGGGGACAGCCAGCAAAGAGGCATGGCCATGCCCGGCTGCTCAGAGATCAATGCTCATGAAGCAGATGGCAAAGGGTCTGTGCAATGCCATCCAGGCTACCTGGGCCCAGGCTGAAAAGGGCTTTCAGCTGGTGGAAGAAGCACAGAAACCAGGAATCCTCGTTCCCAAATCCTGCCCTGCACCTTTTGCCCTGTCATCTGCTTGGTCCCTCCCTTTGGCAAAGGTAGGACATTTTCCAGCATCAGTGGATTTTTTTTACATACAGGTGAATCCCATTCATGGAGCGAAGGATGATCTGAGGTATCTTGCTGGGAGGCTTGGCAGGGTCAGGCAAGAGCTCAAAGCGGAGCAGGGTCAGGGCCAGCGCCACCTTCATCTCATTCATGGCAAACTGCTGCCCGATGCAGTTCCTGGGGTAAAACAGAGCAGCTCAGCCACTTCGTCTCAGTGCTGTGCACAGCAAACCCTGTGGCTGGATCCCAGCCCTCTCACACAACCCTTCCCCTCTGCAGCTCTGGGCGGCCGAGGCAGCATTTTGGGTAGCAAAAGCAGGGGCACGGGCTGAGCAGGAGGAATCTGAGGGAGCTTTGGGAGCTCCTGGATGTGTGTTCAATGAGTACAGAGAGGAAGGGTAGATGGGGAAGCCAAAGGAGAGGCCAGCAGAGCTGAGGTGGTAGGTGTCCAAGCAGAAGGGTCTGCAATGTGTTTGCATTGGTGGGGTAAGCACAGGGCAAAGGGAAATATTGGGAGCAGGGGAGAAGGTGGAACCAAAGGGCAGGGGGGTGGGGTGGGGTCTCTGCATCAAAGACAGGAGGGAAGCAGGTGAGCCCAGGATGCTGCAGGCTCCCCTGCATGATGCTGGAAGGATGCTCCACAGTGTTGGGGCCCAGTTTCCTGTACCCAGGAGGGGCCCAGTGATGTTTCCTTCCCATTTTGCCTGCTGGTATCAGAACCCCACTGTGGCACAAACACTTGTTATGCACTTGTGAACTGTTTAACGCTGCAGGGCCAAGACTTCAGGCAGCAGTCTCTGAAAGCACTTTGTGAGTGCTTCCCCCATAGCAATTATAACAGCAGTGCACACTTCTCGGCCTGAGCAGTTTCCAGGGATGCATGTTTTCTCTCCCCACTACTCCTTCAGCGTTCAGTACACTTTACCTCATTCCAGCAGAAAAAGGCAGAAAGGCATGAGAGTGCCTGCCAGAGAGGTTCTCTGGGGAAAACCGCAAAGGGTCAAACACCTGGAAACAAAGAATATGCAGCAAGAAAAAGTGATTATTTAAGGAACACAGTACTGACCAGCATCTTCAAAAACATGACACCCCATAGTTTCTGAATAACCCCATTGGAGAGAGAATTCATTTTGAGATGGACTGAAACTCATACACCAGACTCCCTTGCTTTCTCCACTGAGCTTGGCAGTGGTGTTTCCCAGATAAACCAGACATAGACATCATGAAAACCAGGGAGTTGGGATTCAATTCTCCACCTTTAGGTCTGAGTAAAAATCACCTTTTTGCCTGTTAATACACCAAGCTCTTTGGAGCGCTTTGTCTTGCTGTTTGGGCAGCACCCAGTCCCAACACTGCTGTCTGACCACCCTGTGCTGCAGCTGGCCGAGACTAACGGAAGGCGGTCACTTCTCAGCACAATTCCCACAGGCAAAGGTGTTCAGGAGCAAGTGGGGGCTCTGCTCTCCTGCTAACAGGTGAAGGGGTAAGAGGCACAGTACAAAGGGAAAAAATTATCAGAAGGGCAAAAGGAAACTCACCGAAGGGTCTTTCCATACTGCAGGGTTTCTGTGAATGAGATAAATGCTTATCGCAGCGATGCTGCCTGTAATGCAATTGAGGAGGAGAAAAAGGCTCAGTGACAAAGAAACTAAAGGGAAGGTTGCAGTGTGGTCACACAAAGGTCTGTCTAAATCATCACGGTCTTATCTGTCAACTGGAAACCAATGAGGTTCTGCCACTGGCTTCAGAGAAAACTAAACATTTTCCACCTGTTTAGTTGTAAGCAGGCAAAAGGTGGAAATGAGGAAGGCACTGGCACTGTAGGCACATCGTTCCCACCCTGACACTGCTTGCTTGTGTGCCAAATCAGAGAAGGAATAGAGCAGTGCACAGCAATTCCCATGCCACAAGTCAGGACGGGACCAGTCCCCACCCCCCTGCACCTGTAGCTTGACAAAATGGGTGAACCATGAGCTTGTGCTTGGCCAGGATGACAAGGGGCTTTTGGCAAAGGCACGGCTGCCCTATAGTAATGGTGGCAGGAAGGATGTCACAGGGATGCCACTATCCAGTCCAGACCTCAGTCTATCAATGGGATACCAACACAGTCCTTTCTGAATGTCTGTGCTGGCGAGGAGCAGGTCACAGACATAAGGCTGCCTCCTTTGCTCTATGGCAGGCAGCAAGACGTCCAAAAGCACAGTTTTGTGAAGCGGGAATGGGATTTACAGACCTTCTGGCAAGGTGCGTCCATCGTGGAAGGTGATGGGTTTGCTGAGCTGCCGAGACACACCAGGCACTGGTGGGTAAAGGCGAAGGCTCTCCTTAATACACATGGTGCTGTAAGTCATCTTGCCCAGGTCCTCCCTGCCAGGACAGAGGCAGGCTGAGCCCCATGCTCCCCCTACTGCCCTGTGCCAGGAGGCCCCTTGCTCCACGGCCATCAGTCCCCTTGGCAGACCCACTTGCAAAAGATGGGGTGTATGGAGGGACCCACAGTGTCCAACCATGTGCTGCTGCAAGCTGGGGACCCCAGAACACCTCTGAACAACCTTAACAACTTCTGAACAAGTTCAAGCGCAAAGTGACAGTGAAGGATGAAAAGCTGTGACTACCAATGTCCTGAGGCGAGAAAACAGGAGAGAGCAAAGGGAAATGTCAGTGGCCCAGGCCTTGCCATGGCCTCCAGCATGTCCCTCCCAGTCTGGGATGGTTTTTTCTTGTGTCTGCCCTGGCAATTGGAGCCCTGAAGCCCTGAAGGGCAGAGAGGCAGGTTTAGCTGAAGGATGCAGTATCTGCTCCATCCTGTGTAGTCCCTGTGCATGCAGCAATCGTACAAACTAGTCCTTTAGCCCTCCAGCTTTTGAGCCTTGAAGACATTGCTCACTCAGAAATACCAGCCATGGGAAAAAAATTTACCAGCTGAGGAAATGTGCAACCTTACCACTGAAGTGTCTCCCTGTCCCCCAGGATCCCCTGGATCTCCTCCCGGCACCGTGCCTGGTGCTCCGGCTGTGATGCCAGGCAGTACAAGAGCCAGGAAATACCACTGGCTGTTGTGTCGTGGCCCTCAAACATGAACGTGTCCACCTCGGCACGCAGGTCCTCATCGGACAGTCCAGCTCCGTTCTCGTCCTAACAGCCCAGAGACACTTTCAGTAGCCCTTATATACATATATATATACACGTATACACACCCACATATATAAAAATAAAAAGTATTTATTATAGTGGCCCATATATATATATATGTATAAATAAAAATATATAATATCCCAAGAAAGGATGTTCTATTCCTTCAGCTATTGCAAAGGGAAGTGGTGATGCCCCTGGGATACATATAAACAAAATCACTCTCTGTTTAGACTTAATTCAGGGCTACTTCCCCTTTCCTTATAAATCCCTTTTTTCCCCCCCAGCAAGACTATGAAATCCCTCTGCATGTTGTTTTCCCCAACAGAGACCACCAACGTCATTCCTCGCTTCTCACTTTGGCACACAGCAGAATGTCCAGGAAGTCCAAATGTCTCTTCTTCTGGATCTTTTCAAATTCCCGTTCATCTTTAAGAGACTCTTTTCGCTCATGGATCACTTTGTCTGAGGAAGAAAAAGTTAAGGGTTCAGCAAGGGCAGGAGACACTGAGCCGCAAAATTGTCCTGCTAGTGCAAAGCTCACTGATGGAGACTGACCACCTCTCAGTTCATGATGCATTTCATGTGTGCTTCTGCATCCCAGGCAGTTTGGCTTTTTCGGCAGCACGGCAACAAATGCCATGTACATTGCCATTCTTTTCTGCAAACTTCTTTGTCCACCACAGACTCCTCAGCCTATTTTACCCACCCCTCCTGCACAAAAATCACGCCAGGGCTGAAAAGGAAAATCACCCCTTGTGTTGGTGTTGCCTGCAGCACCCATCCCTTGTCTCACCAGTCTCTCATCATTTAACAGGAGTGTTTCCAGAGGGGAACTCCTCTGTTAGTCCAGTTTAATAATCCAGGAGCTTGGATTATTAACCCCCTTGCTTCATGCCTAGATCAGACCACGCGGCAAGCTGAAGCTCTGCCTGGATCCTGACTCCAAGAGTCCGGGCAGGATCACTGCACGGGCAAGGAGGTAACTCAACCGCCTCTGGTCACCCATCACCCAACCTGCTTGAAAGCTTTGGGACAGGATGAAGGCAGGGAATACCTGTGTGGTCATGAGCGAGCTGGCAGACTTTCCTGAACCGATACCCATGGGGGCTGAGCCAGTAAATGATGTCATTGTGGTAGGGGAAGATGCGAAGGCGCTGGTGCACCATGTGGCATAGGTCATAGACAGCCTGGATGTAGGTGTTTTTCCTGGTTAGAGAGGAATGGTAAAGGTTGTAAATTTGGGAGCATCATGACAAGCAATTTGTCCACTTCCCTTCAGAGCTGCAAACTTTCTGCCAGAGTTTGGGGCAGCCAGCACTGACCTGTTGGTCTGGCAGTTGCTGTGACAACCAAAGGCACATTTCATGATGCTATCGAGAGTCATCAAGCTGACATGCTCAAAGAGCTCCACTGATTTCCCATCTGTGATCAGCTGCTCCCATTTATCCTGGGGCACAAAGGATACAGAAATGAGAAGGCAAGGGACAGTTCTGTATGATCTGAATTCACCTTCTGGTTAATGAGTGCTCAGCTAGGGATACGTCCCAGAGAAATGACAAAAAGAAGAGGATCTCTTAGTTGCTGTCAAAACCCCAGAGGAGGGAAGCCAAGAGCAGGACAATTAATACAAGATTTCCCTCAGGCAGCTGCTACTCTCGAATCCTGGCAGTGGTGAGCCCTGGTACACCCTACCCTGGGGGAAAGACGCCCTGGAGAAGCCCAGGGTGTGTGTACTGCTGGGTGAGGGGGCATGTTACCAAAGTATTTTTTAGGGTGCAGTGTGTTTCCCTCACAATAGCAGCATATGTTGGCATTGGGCTCCACAGAGTCTGTGCTTTTTGCCTGTGTCTCACAAGCACATATGACTTCGGTGCCTTTGATGTCTAAGATGCAAGCTTCCATCTCACGATCTCTCTCACACTGTTTTACCAGCATATAGGAGCTTTGTCTCAACTGTTCCCATAGGGGATCCCTAAAGAAACTACAAATAGTGTCTCTCTTGCCTGGAAGCCATGAAAGGATGTTGAACCCTTTGTCCTTTCATGGCTGTAAGGAACCAGCAGACTCAAAAGCTGAGAAAGGGAGGAGATGGAGGAGCACAGTCACGTCTGAGCTCCCACAGCATGAAACCAGTCTGAGGAAGAGGGCTTATAAGGACAGACTTGTGTCCTTAGCACATACAACGATTGCCACCTGGTGGCATAGGCTCCCACAATAGGCACTTTGCACTACCTGCAAGGAATTATAAACTGCCAGGCCCTATTATGCATTGCAAAAGCTCTCCTGGCTCTCCAGCCCCCAGCTCCTGCCTGCTCCCTCAGCCATTGGGAGGAAGGACAGCCAGGATCCATGTGGAGCTGCTGGGGAGGCTGGATGGAAGGAGGCAAAGGAGAAGGAATAGATCTGGCACCCAGACTCCTGCCGGTCCATGTGCACAAAGCCTGGTGCTCTTCAGCTGTAATTCACACTGGTTTCCAGCATGCCCATCACCGATGGATGGAAAGACAGTGCAGTTTCACTGTGTATTAGGCAAGACAGTGATTGCAATCCAGTCCTGGGTATGTTGGCAGCAAATGCTACCCTTTAACCTTAGGTCACAGTACAGCTCTGGTCCAATCTTTGTATTTTTGGGATTTATTATGAACCTTTATTTACTTCAATTCTTCATTAAAAAAACACCCTATAAGAAATTGCAGTTGGGATTGAGATTATGCACAATTTGGGGATGGCAGTAACACTAATCCTCAAGTCAGCCACAAAGCCCAAAGCAGTACCAGAGGCAAAGTCCCCACAGGAAGGCTCAACCTGCTCGTTTCTTCCAGCCCACGCGCAGGGATTTGTGGTGGCTCAGAAACCTTGACCACTACAGCCTGTCCTTACAATTACCAGGTTGTGAGTAAGGGCACTGCAAGAAAACCCTGCTCCAGCATTTACCTACTACACAGTGAGGATAAGGGAAAAGAAAACAGGGCAGAGAGAGGAGCATCAGATATGAGTCCTACCAGCATCACGTTAGTAGACTCTGCCATCAGGGTGACGTACGGTTTCAAGACATCATAATGAAACCCTGGAGTCAGGAGTTTTCGATGTTGATGCCATTTTGGCCCATGTAAGATCAGCAACCCGTTCCCTGGGGAAACACAGTCAAGGCATGTTTTGCTAGTCACAAGCAGGCGGCTTTCACCTGCCTGCAGACATAGCCTCCACCTGCAAGAAGCATGATTAAATCTGCTGTCTGAACTGCTACAAGAGAGTTTTTCCAAATGTTGCTGTCAGCTCCAGTGGTTCCAGGGCTGAGATGAGTCCTGCTCACCAAAACAGCATGGAGCTGCCTCCAAAAAGAAACAGCAACACTGCTGGAGCTGAGAAGTTCAGATCAGCAGATGCATTTTTTACCAGTCCTTCACTGAATCTGAGCTTCTCCCATCACCACCCTTTGCTATCTATGGATGTGTACGTGGTTATCATTTCTACATTTGACTATGTCTGAACTTTCCTTGAATCACAAAAAATAGCATTATTTAGTACCTTTTTCAATAAATGTAATAATTTCAGGAAGCTTTTAGCTATAACTGCATCAAGGAACATGCACAATGCTGTTTATTTATAGCATGTTCTTGGCTAACTTCAGTATCATTCCTGGTAGGCAAAGCCCTGGCAATACATACCAATCCATGGGACAAGGTGTTTATAGCTCATGTTATCCTTGGGATCTGTAAAAAAATCATCAAGAAAGAAAAAATAAAATTATAAATGTTTCAGTAGCATCAACCCACCAGTTTGCACCTGAAAACTCCCTCTGGGCTCTCTCTTTTGGCTGGGTATGAAGTAGAATCAGTGGCATCCCTGCACAATTCATCAGTATTTCACAACAAAACAACACCGTTTGGCCCAGCTGCGAGACACGTATAAAAGTAGATGCCCAGACTGGAATAAACAAGAATACTGGCAGTCTAAAATCTGTGCTGTGACAAATGATTAACCCTCCCAGAGAGCACTGTTTAGCACCTTTCTCTCTGCATGCACTAGAGATACAGCTCCACAGCAGGAGACAGGGGTCTGAGCTGAGAAAGAAGCTTCCAGCTGTCTTCTTGCTGGGGTCAGCACTGAGAAGATAACTTTTCAAGGAGCACTTGAGGAAGTTTGATTTGCCAGATTTGGAGGGGCCCATGTCACCCCTGCAGCCCTGTGCCTGAAGCACTGAGTGCATGGCACGAATGAGAGGTATCTCTCCATGCCTTTAGATAGTTTCTGCAAGACAACCTCTCTACAAAACCCTGCCTTGCTGTGAATTTTTAGGCTGGCATGGGAAATCTGCAGGCTATGGTTGCTGATGTACAGCTGAAGGCATCATATTCTCACCTCCTCTGGCCAACAGAGCCTTGGCATAGTCAGGATCGGTGACAACCAGGAATGCTGAGAAACTCCCGAACCAGAAAGGGTGAGCGCATGGGTACTTCCGGGCCCAGATTTCCACCTTGTCCAGCACCTCTTCCTCCTTGTGAAACTGTAGTTGTGGGGAAGTAAAAAGACAAAGAATACTTAGATTCAGAAGAAAAAATAATCTCCCAAACCACTGTCTTAAAAAGCTCAAGGTCTTTCTGTATCACAAAACCAGGTAATGGCAAACAAAGTGTCCCTCCAGGTTTGCAGAACATCCCTAAGGACAGTGGTGGTGCCTATCAGTGCACATAAGTTATCTGGGGTTTTTTCCATGGCTACCCCAAAGAAAACTCAGATTTGCTCCAGACAGCATCTGCATTTTGTGGAGTGCAAATATGTTCTCACTTGTGCATGGCTGAGGAATTAGCACCCTGTATTTGCTAGAAAATACAGCAGCACTTTTAGGGCAGTCAACAGCATCGCTGCTGCCTCTGCCCTGCTGCAACAATGCCTCCTGACCGGGAAACCTGGGCCACAGCTTCCTCCAGCCATTTAGGTGGAGAAGGCCAGTGTCCAGGTAAAATTCAACAGAATGAGTCCACAGTCACCATGGAGTATACAGAGGAGGGGACACTGGTCAATAATGTTAGATTAAGATTTCATTGATTTCCAGAAATTGAATTTAATAGGCAATGAAGAGCTGATGCTCCCAGAAAGGTTCATCTCTGGTCCTTGGAAGCTGCATGCTGAGGAGTAACGTGAGCACCAGTGTACATACTGGCAGCACTTGTGGGTTCACTCTTCAAAAGTGATCAGTGGTTTACTGCTTTTACGGACAGTGCTGTTGTATATTAAACAGGCAATAGCCAAAGAATAAGTGGCAAGATTGGTGGAAAGATCCAAAGTCACAAACAGAAAAAAAAAAGACAAAACTGTGTAAGAATTCTCTTTTCTTTGAACAGAAGTGACTCTCTCACAATAGGCAGGAGGAAGGACTTTGGTGAGCTAGGGCTGACATAGCTGCTGCTGCTTTTGACTTGAAGCTTGAAGTTTAATTACAGCTGCATACTGGTGCAGAAATCAGCCACAAAGTCACCCTATTGACTGAGTCAAGTGAATATTTGTGCAATCGCTTTGGTGCTCAGTTAGCTCAGCTCAGCTTTTAGTTCAGCTAGTGTTTCTCAACCCAGGAGACGGCTTATACTCAAATAATCATGCACTCAAACAATCAGGCTTGTCTTGGAGAGGATGCTCGGGAGCTGCGGAGCTTCTGCCAGGGGACTGTGCAGGCTGTGTGGGCGCATGGCCAGGCTCCAAGCGCCAAGGCTGACCCCCCTTCCTTGTGAGCTGGAGGTGTCCCTCCAGCACATCCTGTGTGTCTCTCGCGTTCAGCTGAAACATGAACTACATCCAGTTATCATTTATGAGAGAAAGTTATCATTCCATTTCTTTTGCTCAAGTCCAAGATTTTGGACTTATCAAAAAGAACTGTCAGTTTCTCTGGTTACAGGGATCAAGTTTTGGGGTAAAAGGAGGCAGCCTTCCCTAGCACCCACCCCTTCAGCAATGCCAGCAGAAGTGGGGCTTGGCACAGTGCCTTTGGCTGAGTAGCACTTGAACACATGAAAGTCCCTTTGATATGTCTGCTTGTGCTTCCTTCCATCATGAAACCACAAAAAGCATAAATGGAAGTAATTGGGAGATGCTCAGCAGGCCTCGCTGGCGGAAGTCGTAATGCTAGAAGCCTCTGCATCCAACCTTGCACCAGCCTCAGTTTGTGCTATCAAGAACCATCCCTGAGCTGGCAGAAGGTGGGATAGGTTTATGTGAGAGGAGAGGTTACACCCAAGGTGAGTAAAGCCTACTTGCTGTGCCGAGCACTCCCTAGGCAAAGGGTGTAAAATCCCATGGGCTGGGGAGGAACAGGAACAGAAAGCTCCTGCTTCTTAACCAGGGCTCCAGCTTCCAGGCTTTGCATGAAAGACCATCACTTCTACTTCTTTCTCCCCTGGGGGCTTGAAAAGAAAAGTATAACCTCCACTTGGGTCTAAGGAAGAAAGGTAATAGCTTACTCTCATGCTGAAATGCAAGTTTTGAAATGGATCCAACACTAAAAGCATCTGGGAAGAGGCTCTTAAAGGTGCTTTTAATGACTATGCACCGATAGCAAATGAAACAGAAAACGCAGGAGTTGAAATCTGAGCATGAAGCTGCGCCATGCTCAGTCAGAACCAGGCTGGCTCCCCTTCACCAGCTGCCTGCACAGCACAGATGCAGGCAAAGGGCTGCCGAGGGACTGCCAGCCCCACTGTGCCTGTGGGGCAGCAACCCTGCTCTCCTCTGCTTCCCGCTAACCGTGGCCATGTGAATTGAGTTTGGCCAGCTCGGGGCTGGTACTCTGGGTTTTAACTAAGTTGTGCTGCTGCAGTGAGACTGAATAGCTCTACACAACCTGTCCTGATACTTTAGTGTAATTTCTACTGAGTGATTTGGATAAGCAGACTAACACCTAAGAATGCTTTAAAACAGAGTGATGTATTCCCAGGAGACCCACCCAAAGCATGACAAATATATTTGAGACACTAAACTGACTTGTATCAAAACCGGCAATTAATTACAGAATAGGAAATGTCTCCCTGAATACAGCTCTCAGGTCCTTCTCCAAGGTGCATGTAAACTTGTATTCAGCATGTGCCCACAGCATTGCCAGTTTCCTCACTGGCTCAATGAACTGTTGGGCTCTGGGGAATTCAATCAGCAAATGATTGAATTTGAAAAACTGGGATTCTTCAAAAAATGCTGTCAGAGGAAAAAGTCAAGTTGTGAACAACCTAACCATGATGGGGGCGAGCGACTGGCACAAATGGTTAAATTCTGTTCCAGGATAAATAGTCACAACTGACAAACAGGCAAACACACTTTAATTGCGGTTTTAAAGTCTAACTGGCAGCACAACAAAGCCCAGAACTGGCCCATCTTCACGCTTACATTGCCAAAAGACTGCCTGTCCCATCCAGTGCAGCAAAACTGGGGCTGCCACAGCACAGAGACAAGCCCTAAGAGGTCCCCTGCAGATTTCACAGCTACTTTTCAGGCTGTCAGTTATTTAATGTGCCACAGATTTGGCCAGGGCATCAGCAAAGCCCAGGAGAGGTCAGGGCCATCTGAAGCAGCCTTTAGCACGTATGGAAATGCCTTTCACAACAGGCAGCTCAGTTACTCCTTTGCGAAGCTGCCGACCAGTTTTGGAAATCTGTTTGCCAAGGCAGCCAGGCTGAGCTGTGTGGGCAAGTGCATACCTCAAGGAATATTCATCCACTGCCCAGAACAAGGCTTGCTTATGTGCACGGGTTTAGTCAATCATGGTTTTAATGCAGCCTCAAAAAAGATCTGTGGCCCCTGTGCCGGATGCTATAGCTGAGATGTGTTTTGTGGCTTAAACATGACTCGGAATGATCAATGCCCTGTCAGGCTCACCCAGCTGTGAAGCCGATGCAAGCTGGCAAGGGAAAGAAGGTGCTTCCAGACATTGGGAGCAGCATGCACCTGCTTAGCATTGCAGGGACTGCTGCAGCAGCCATGCCCTGACTTTCACAGGAGCAGCGCGGTGACAGCAGAGCCTGCCCCAGGACAGAGCAGTGTGGCTCTGCTGCCTCCAGCACCAACGCCGGGTTACACCCCGGGATGACCTTGCCTACGCCACGTTATATTACTGTTTTCTTTACTTGTGATCCAGCTACCACCTCTTTCCAGTGTGCAATTCTGCAGCAGCCTACGTGTGCAGTCCTCTAGGCACCGCGAGCAAGAGAAAGCGGTTTGTATGGCTGAGAAGAATTATGCTCACCTTTCCCTTCCCCCGGGGACTGGGAGAAGCAATTCTCCTGGACCACAAGGACAAGTCCCACTAGCAGCATTCCCCCCACCCCCCTCCGCCCCCGCTGCTCGAGGAAACCTCTCCCCGCACTCCCTCCTTCTCCCCCGGCAGTGCAGACCGGGCTCTCACCCTACCTCATGGATGTGGCCGAGGAACCAGTGGGTCGGGTGGCCGGGGAAGTCGGCCA